AAGGTATGTGCATTCACTATTCCAATTCACCAAACAAGTTGGCCAGCTTGAATTGTTAGGAAGTCAGGAAAAGTTTCCTAATGATTAGTGATGTCCATATTGGAATGGGCTACCTCAGGAGTTGGAAAGGTGATCCCTGTTTAGATATGGGTTAGAATAGACAGCCTCTGGGGTCTCTTCCATCTTTGAGATTTTTCTTATAGGCTACCTCTCTCATTTTTTGACCTCTGTCTCCAGTACTCATATACTGATGTAGACATGAGGAAGAGCCCAAAGGTTAAACAGTTCAATGCAAAAAAGTCCTATTATGTGCCTCCAAACTATAAAGCATTGTGATAGGTAATGGAATTGACCGCCATTTTACATTGTCTGTATGTTGGTCTTATCATTTAGCACACAGTTTACTGAACAATTTCTTTCTCCTAAATGATAGAACATCTCTTTTTTCCTTACTATAGACCTTAGGCATGGGGATGACCTGCTGTGCAGGCCAATAGATATTGGAGTGGATAGAACAATGGAACATTTTACCTGGAATCAGGAAGACCTGAGTTCAAACCTACTTAATCACTTACTAGCTAAGTGAACTTGGGCAGATACTTAACCTCTGTTGTCTCAGTTTCCTCAACTGTAAAGTGGGGATAATAATTGCGCCTACCTCCCAGGGTTGTTGTGAGGGTCAAATGAAATAATATTTGTAAAGCATTTTGTGAACCTCAAAGCACTAAATAAATGCTAATTATTTAATCTCTTCCTTTTATATAGAAGAAACTAAAGCATAGAGAAGTTAATCAATGCATCTCCAGTTAGACAGTGACTGAGGCAAGATAAATGTAAGTACCCCAGCCAACAGTCCAGTGCAATTCTTCCAGACCATCTCATCTTACTAAAGCTTCTGTTTTCATGGAGCAGCATGTCATCTCTTTCTGCTGACATTTCGTATAAGTGAGTTACTGATATAAAACATTCTTTCAACTTTTTTTTTAAAGAGTTTAAATTGTATGTTCATCTTACAGTTTTTAAGCTCAAATCTATCTAAGCAGTGATTGATTACAAAAACCATTCCCCATATATTTAATGAATAAAAATTATCTACTTGATCCTTCAGATTTTTAACTGAATGACAATTTCCATTTCAATCAACAATGAATCAATAAGCATTTGGCACTTGTATCCCCAGATCTGCCTTTCCCAGGCTAAATAGCTCTAGTTTCCTCCAGAAGACAGTCATCCTACTGTCACCAAAATACTTGGGACCATTGAGTTTTAAACACCTAGACTTACTTCTGTCACCAATGTCAGATGTTAGAAGATTCTAAGAATTCTTGACCATCTGTTGTCAACGGGACTGAGACTGAAAGTCAAAATTGTCCTGGGCCCTCTCTGTGGCTCCATACCAACAAAATGATTCAATGAGTTCTTGGCTTTTTCCTTAATCTATCCTCTTAACATATGTATTCCATAATTTTTAGCTCTTTCAGCATTTCCTTGGTAATAAGTACTTTTGTCCATTGCTGCTTTCATAAGAGAAATTATCTTAACCTTGAAAGAAAGGTGAATATCTCCCCTTCAACACTGACATATGAGGCTATGTCTACACTATGGCAGTATCTGAATTGAAAACAAAAAAAATTCCTTATTTTTCACCTGGGGGTGTTTACTAATATTCAGATAATTGGTGCCAGCTAGGCAAAACATCTGGATAGCTGAATATTTCCATGTTTATCCAAATGTCCAGTATCATATAGACACAACTTAATATTCTCTTTCCTCCACTAAGAAGAAATTGTTAAGCAACCAATTTGCCATTGATGTTTCCAGTAGACAACCACTCTCTGCTTCTGAAGAGACACAAAACAATTTCGTACAGAAGAGTAGTGTCTCTTTCCTCTCTTTTATGAGTGACATTGCCCAGAGTTACTGGAACCCTTAGGCTTTAGGGAGGAGGGATAAGATTGTTGCTGATTTTATGTCCTTTGTTAAAGTCAAGGAACTAAGCCACAAAGTTTTTAATCATGAGAATCTGGATCAAGTTCAGTCTGAAGTTCAAAAATATATTCCAATTAAACTATTTAATAGATTCTTGGCTTTTCCTATTGCCCCATCCCCTTACCATGTGTATTCAATAACCCCAGGTTCTTTCTTGTTCCCCTGGTAATAAGTGGATTTCAGTAATGACGTCATGCTCTAAGAGTTTAGCTTCTTTCAAACCAATATGTTTTCTAAGTGTCTGTAATAAACCTGAATATTCATAGGCTTGAGTGAGTCATTTACCTTCACTATGAGTGTGAAGAGTGCACAGGGGAGATGGAAAGGTGGATGGTGAGGGTAACCAGGTTGTAGCATATTACCAGTAATAATTTATACTCAAAAAGTGCTGGGAAAAAACATCACCAAAGACACTTAGTAATGAAAAAGGAGATTAATTTACCAAGCAAGAATGGACAACCTGTGTACTACATGAGTACCCTTGAGGTGCTAAAAGAAATAGAGGAAGACTTCTGACACACTGGGAGAATCATTTGTAAGGAATTTACAGAAAGAAATGGATGAGAAGCCCACTGGTTGAGAACATGCAAAGAAGTTGAAATCTGCTTTGGAGAAATGCCTATACTAAGAAAGTCATAAATCCATCTAAGTTTCTCATTTGTTTGTATATCTTAAGTGTGCCATTAGCTCATGGATTGAAGAGTTCCAGCCCCATTAATAGTTTTGTGCTTATTTATATGGTGGTAGATGAATGTAAAGGCTTGAGGAAGATAGTACTTGGAGGGGGGTGGGAAGGGAGATAACTAAACCCAGCAAGTCACTGAGTATTTTTCCCAAGGCTAAGATATTGCCGCCTTGCCTTGATGGTGATATACCTGCTAAAAATCCTGATGCAGACTGCTACTTCTGCTCTAACTTGGAAACCCACCCTATGGAACA